CAGAACCCGTCTCGAGAACCGAGAAATGGGAAAAACGGAGGGGGCCGTCGCAGCGCTGGTGCCGCTCCGCTGAGACAGGCTCGAAAGTCCAGGTGCGCTGCACGGAAGGGCGAAACCCAAGCTCCTCGCACTCGAGGGCAAGAGCTCGGGCTCCGTCCCCACGGCCCGTCTGTCCTGCAGCCGCATGGCCTCCCCACGTCTGTGGGCTGGTCATTTCACGGAACGCCGTCACTGTAACACCAAAACACGAAGCACAAAGCAGCAACTACGTGACGGCATCGTGGATGTCCTCCCGACTCCCCATGCAGACACTGTCTCTGTCCCCACCAGAGACAGTGCCACCCACACTGCGCCGAGCCCACCCCCCCAACAGCGTGGCACGTCCCACTGTCCCGCCACGTCAGGAATTTCTACCACAGGGAGCTGCAACGCGGTACAGATACACTAGAACCATGCTAATGGGTTTCAGCGACTGTCACTTAGGTCCCCCCAGTTACACTACCAAGGACAGTGCTGCAGATAATATATTTATACACACATCCGGTGCCTTTTTTCTAATTTCTTCCCTTCAGAAAAAATCTTTTAAGCATAATTGTTGAGTCCGATGGTGTGCGGGTATGTGTACAATGAACACATTTTGCCAAATTACAAAGAGGTTCTACTGATTTAAACTTGCACACCAAGGTTATGAAACGGGTCACTAACCATCTGTTTCCCCATGGCCTCGCTCAGCTGTGCACTAACTCGTACCCTCCCCCCGCCCGCTTCCCAGCAATCGGCTTGCTCCACTCCCATTCCTCTCTGGTCCCTTCACCCCTGTTGCTGGGGTGACCACATGGAGCATGCAGCACACATGACCTTCAGATGTAACAGGGACCACGGGCCATGGGGAAGGCCCCCAGCGGACTGTCGGGTCGGGCAGGCTATTGGAGCAGGTAAGCTCGGGAATTGTGCACAAACAGGTCACCTCTTATGTCCAGATACTTGCTGTGTCTCACCAAGGGCCCTGCCCACCTTACTCATCAGTGTACCCCCAGCCCTACTGCCAGAGTGACCCCTCCAACACCCAGTGAGCTCAGGAACAAGCAGCCTGCACCTGCTACTCCACTCAGTCGCATGACGTTCCCTCTAGGTCTGTGTCCCTTCCACCTCCCCACAGGTGGCTCCCAACATCATTGTGAGAGTGCTGGTCACCAGGAAGGAGAGGCGGGCACACCCCTCCGAAGCCCTGTGCCTCCCGCCCCCGCTGCAGGCGGCAGGCTTGAGCCACACGCACTGTAGTCGGCTTCCTGACGCGGACAGCTGCTTCCGAGCAGGGTGAGCTGGCTCCGCACACCCTCTATTTCCATAAGCCCTGGAAATGGTATTTTACCGAGCATACCGGTCCTGACACATCTGAATTTGTCTGAATTACAACCGCTGAGACTTCCCTCTAGCGCACGCTTAGATGGGCGTGACACACTTGAACTGAAGCCTGCACTGACCCCACACCAGACAGGCCGTGTCACGCAGCACCACATCCTCCCAAGGGCCCCAAAAGCAGAGTGGCCAACGGCTGGAGCGAACCCACTCCAGGCGTGCCCAAGACGCAGGACTCACAGCACCGCGGAGGGCAGAGGGAGGATGCTGCCCCTAGCTCCTCGTCCCTGCCAGCCGTGGGCACGCTCAGAAGGGGCACTATGCTCATAGCCTATCACACGGTCTCCTTATGCAGTGCCACGGTCACACTGGAGACAACGTGGCTGAGAGCCCAGATCTGTGGACGACCACTGCAGTGCAGGCCCACTTCCTCCCCTCTCATTTAGGAAAGCAGACCTCGAAGATAAAAAAGGAACAAGGTCAAGTCTTCTGTTTTCTATTATTGAGTTCTTAAGTTGCCAGAAATGTAACAGCAGACCAGCCTGCAAGTGCAAATAGCTGAATTTGCACCATATGAAATGCACCATGAAAAAGCACAGCACCAAATCCACTACAAGCTAAGTGCCCAAGACAGCACAGCTGAGCAGTGACGGTGAACAAAGACGGCGCGACAGTGGCAAACCTGCCTGGAATGTGGGAGTTTTAGTGCTTCTTCTCTAACTTATATAATTATTAGAAATCCTGGACTTACTTTAAACATTTCATTAATTAGGAAGCAATTGTTAATATGCTGCTAGTGACTCAATTTTGAAACCAGTCTATAACTCCTGTTTCTGGTCAATTTAAGTAAAATGTATCCTGAAATTTGCAAGTCAAGCTGTTTCAAAATATTTTGTAACAACTTATCTGTAAGCAGAATTGTCTTAATTCATTATGCAACTAAAACCAAGTAAACAGAAGTCAGAGTCTAGGAGACTGACAGAGACTCAGGGCTCCCCTGCCACACTCCACCAGCGACACTGCTGCGACCACTGTCAACAGACAGGGCACAGCCGACAGCGCTCCAAGGGTGCCAGCCACGAATCCACGTGATCATCCATCTTTGCAGTAACCTCAGGAAGAAGGCCTTATCGTCCTCCTTTTACACATAAGCAAACTGAGGCCGAGAGGGTGTGGAACTTGCCCGAGGCCACACAGCAAGGAGGTAAGGGGCAGAGCCAGGATTCGGATCTAAACAACGTGGGTCCAGAGTCTGGGCCCTTCACTAGCAGGATACACTGTCTTCCTCCAATAACCGAAAGTTACAGACCTCGGCTTACAAAATAAACTCCTACATGTGAAGCACCACTAGTTTACATACCAGAATTGTACAGAAGATTTCATTTGACAAAGGGGTTCCACTACCAAAAAGAAAAAAAAAACAACTCTGAAAATCCTTAAAATAGGGTATTAGTTATTAAAATGGGAAGGGGCCATTTAGTGAAGCACCAGGATGTAGTAACTTCCTCTTAGAGAGAAAAATTTCTAGCATCAGTAAATATAACTTATGTACTGAATAAAACACAAAACCCCAACTGCAGAAAAAAAAAAGGATGTTTCTCATTTCCTACAATTTATCTGAGATGTGTTCATCTGTTGTCAGTGCTGGATTCTCCCAGCCAGTGAGAAGCAGGAGACAGCTAAAGGCTTAAGAAAAATACGTAGGAGAAAAAAAAAAACTGAAAAAATTCTACTTGTAAATTTGACATTTTTTCCTGTCAATGGGAAAAAGACAACCATTATTTTACTTTTACTAGTAGAATTTGTGATTCCAGCTTGTATTCTATAAAAACATAATTTAAGACACTGAAACAAGTAAAAAGAAGCTAAACACCATCTATTGCTACAAACGACATTTCTAAGTGTTGGTCACTTACCAAGAGTTAAGAGTCCCATCTGCTATAATTAAACCCACCTTTTGAGCTCTCTACAATCTGACTTTCAACAGAGGAGTGACAGTGGCCTGCATCAACCACACCCGTTCCTCCAGTAGAGCTAGGACGGACTGAAGACACAGGGGAAAGACACGTTTCGAAGCTGGCCACTGACTGGAGAGCCAGCCGGGCCAGAGCCCGCTGAACTACCTCTGCACCCTGGGCCTGCACAGAGCCAAGCACCGGCAGCAGCTCAGCAGAAGAAAGAGCGCAGCTATGTCCACGTCCATGGGGGACCACGAACCCCACTCACGAGTCTCAAAACCTGCAACTGCCAGATAAAGCTGAGACTCCTTGAAGGCTGGAAAGGAGAGAAACTACGAAATGTCGGTTACTCCTACCTTGTTTCTCTTTTTCTTTTAGCGGATCGGTGTTATAGACTCGGAATCCATTTTCCATCCCACAGGCAAAGCACCCTAAAGTGAGAGAGAGAGACGTTAATCACCTGCTGTGGTCTCAGCTCAGGACCCCAGGCCTAGCGTGGCAAAACAAGGTCTACACAATGCGCCTCCCCTGAGAACTCCTGCAGGTGCTCAGACCACGCCCCGCCCCCCCCCCGGGACTGTTATGAAATGGTGTGCACATCCTAGCACATCTTCGTTTTGTCGTTTAACAAGCGAAGGAGCCTCTGGAGTCACCACTCCACCCCCGCACTGCAGGGCCCTTCCGTGACATTCCCGGGTACCAGACTGCACTTGAAACACTTAATTTCAGAGACGGGGGCTCAGCATTTACCTCCGTGAGCCACTGTGTACTCCCGCTGACGCCTGCCTCTAACATGCACCATGGCCTTGTGCCAAACACGCCTCTTGAGCACTGCGTGTCAGGTACCAAGTCACGGACAGGCAACAACAAACAAGGAAGCCCGTGTCTCCCGGAGGACAACCCCAGCAGGTGGGGACAGACCAGGCTGAGGAGAGGAAAAGGCTGCTACAGCATGGTGTTCTAGAAGGCAGACCCGAAGACTCCCATGACCTCACTCCCACTGTTAAGTAATCCTAACTCCTTAAACCCCTGTCTTGGTCACTAGGTGAGACCCAGGTCGCCACCTACAAGTCACATGCCAAGCTGTTAATGGCCCAGTTAAAGCCATGTCAGGAACTGAAGGAAGCACCCAACTTCCATGATGACCCTGTGACCTAAACTTCATGCACCATGAGTGCGACCCAAGACCACACTGATCTCAAATGCCAGCACGTCCAGCTGCTGGTTCCTATGAAGCCTGTGGCCGGAAGGAGAAGCAGACCCTCCACTTCCATCCTCCAAGACAGGCTGCAAAGCCTCACAACAGCTGCGCGGCTAGTGTGAACGCCAAGGCCGAGGCCCTCTTCAATTCTGTTCTGCTGGTTTCCGGCTTTGGGACCACATTATCCTGCCCTATCTGCCACCCTTCCAAATGTGGAGGGCATGCTGACGTGTTTGGTCCACGTGACCTATAAAACCGCAGGATAAGAGTCGAGGACCACCGCGGCTGCCCTGGCCAGGTGGAGACCGCTGTGCAGTCAACAGCACGGCTGAGATGCACTCAGAAGTGCCACATTATTAATCCACTTCACTTATTTGGGCTGCAACGCCCTTTTTGTGTTACTGAAATCATGTAACCTGGGCAGAAGAATCAGAGCTTTGCTTCCTGGAAAATATGGAAATACAGGGGTCAAATCTTGTTCTCAATTATCACATCTTCCCCAACCTCTGTTTTGATTTGTTTTACGCCTACAGCACTTGGTCTTCCTAGGTGGTCTCCCATCCAAGTACTAACCAGGCCCAACCCTGCTTAGCTTTCAATATTGGACAGGAGCAGGCGTGTTCAGGGTAGCATGGTCGCTGACATATCTTCCCCACCTTCTAAGCCTGCATCTACCCTGTGTGTTTTCATCAGAATACATACACTTCTGACAAGACTTGTGTAAAAATATACAAACTGCTCTAAACCTACAGGAAAAAGGCAGACAACCCAATAGAAAAATGAGCAAAAAGCTTGGACATTTCACAAAATAGAATATCCAAATGGTCAATAAACACAAAGAATCAGGGAAATGCAAATATGATCTCAAAACACCACAATGAGATCTACCACATACTCGCTAAAATGATGGCAAATACCAAGGGTGAGGTGGGTACGGAGGCATGGGGACTCGGACCCGCTGGGGCAGCAAACTGTACAGCCACGTGGGAAAACTGCTTACACATCTACTGCAGCTGTGGATTCTGCTCCCAGGTGTACATGTCTTGCAGAAATGACAACACGTGTTCACCAAGACATGTATCAGAATGCTCATAGTAGCGCTATTATACTCATGGTAGCCAAACACTGGGAACCTACCCCAAAGCCCGCCAGTTGTAGAATGAATGAATTGTGACATTTTACATAAAGAAACACTATTCATCAATGAGAATGATCTACAGATAGATTCAATACGAAAAATATATTATAAACATGACGATGAATAAAAGAGCCAAAAAAAAAGCACACCTGCAGGCAAAACTAACCCTGGCCAGCGGAAGTCAGAGGGGAGCCACGAAAGGGGAGCAGGTGTGTGCGGCTTCCGGACCTGGGCTCCAAGGTGAATTCACTTTGGAAAACTCATCAAGCTGAACATGTAGGACATGTACTTTTCTGTACATATAGTACTTCAATAAAAAGTACTTCAATAAAAAGTTAAAAGGAAAGGTTCCACCAACACCAAAAGGTTGGAAACCCCCTCAGGGAGGCTGGCTCCATCCTTGCTACCGTGTGTTGAATGATTAACCAAGTTCATTCGGTTATCATACAAAACTTGGCATCGATCTTCCCATCCCCGCTACTTCAACACTTCTTCCCACCATGGGGCAGCTGGCAGTGCGTAGCAAGCCCAACAGGGCAACGGGGCATGAGAATCACGGAAGGGCCGACCTCTGCATATGGAGCACATGCAGTCCACATGCAACACCCCCGCACAGGTGAGAACTGCAGCGGCCTCCGGTCTTGGTCAAGGCAGGACAGACCAGTACACAGAGAAAGTATATACAGCCAAACACTTGTGCTCCCCATGGGAACAGAAAAAGAAAAATAGGGCTGCCAGACTGTAGAAATGTACATATCAACAGTTAAGATTCTTGAAGACTACGGTGCAAATTAACCTTGGGAAAAGACAAGCAAAAGTTGAGACAACTTAGAATTATAAGCAAACGGCCTTTTAAAACTGATTTCTAAGCCTAAAGTTGCAATGAGTGTTAAAAATACTGGGAGTAACAATCAAAAATTAAAAAATTAAAATTCAGTATAAGTAAAAACAAAAGATAATATACTCAATCATCTGGCAAAAATTTACTTTATATGGAATTAACCTAAGGATAACTAAAAGCTTAAGTTTAAAAGCACGTTATTTTTAAACACTGTAAAGTTTTACTTGTAATTTCTTACAATGAAATGAGCTGGTTTCACAAAAGCCTATTTTTCAGACAATTGAAATATGTCTATTTAAAAACCAACGCGATATTTTAAAAATAATCTTTAGCGAAACTTTTGTAAAAATATTATAAACTTCTTGTTTCTTAAATAATTAGCACCATCATCTGAGCCACAATTATGACACTGAAACTTAATATAAAGATTCACGAAAGAATGATTTCTTTGCATTAAATGACTTCCAGGCATTAAACTTTTTGCTTTGTTTTTAGTTGTCTCTCCCTTTTCTAGCTATCTGTCAGATGTTTTTCACTGAAAGCATATTTCTTAAGAAGTTATGGTATCACTTAACTTCTTGAAAAGTTCTCAATTATTATCTAAACTTACTTATCGCCCAAGGTCAAAGATTCCCGCCCCAAGCAAGCCGGTACCTCCCTAATCACGTTCCCATAGGCCCTGCAGTCTGGCCAAAAAAAGACCACCAGTGGTCCTTTAGCCCCAGGCACCCACACCCTTCCCAATCTCTCCACCTTTGGTCTAACTGTCACCTCCTCTAAGAACCCTTCGGGGAACTCAAAGGCCAGAAGTAAACTTGCCTCCTCCAGCTTCTTGAAAACTTCCCGAACCTCGCTCACGGCCGCACCTTTTCGCCCTCTCACCTGGGTCGTCCGCAGGCCTTTTTGACCTCTCTTTCACCGACACCGTCAAAAGCTGCGGGCAGGCCCCAGCGCGCACACGCGCGGACCAAACACGGGCGGCGAGACGCAGGCCAGCGCTGCCCGTCACCCGAGAGGACCCTCACAGCGCGCGTCCTCCAGGACGTGCTCTGACCCTCTGCAGACACGAACCTCCCACGGCCAACCAGTGGAAGCCCTTAGAAGTCTGTCCCCGAAGGCAGCTCCCTCTTCTCCCCAGCGGGGACACAGTGGTCTGCAGCGGAGAGGTCGTGATCCAACCCCGTTCCCCCAGGCCCACCTCCGCGTCCCCCCCGCAGCCTTCTCGGGTGAGGACAAGTGTGGTTTAAATCACCCTGTAAGTAAAGCAGGGATCGGAACTGTGAGGAAAAAAAAAAGATGCGATTTCCCCTACAAGCGTACGGAGCAATCGAGTTCTTAGAAGTCCTGCGATTTCAGTAAACAAACAAAAAACCCTGGAAGGAGAAAGTATTCCTTCACTCCTTCAATGCCATTTTCTGATTAAAATCACCAAAAAGACACCCAATTAGGCCTGAGAGAATCGTCTGTAAAAAGTGAGCAGGCAACTGGAAAAAACCGAAGCGTTTTCCAACTCAAGCACGGGCTGTTTGCTCCAGGTCACCGACGGGAACAGAAGACGGAGTTCGAGGCAGACCTGACACGCGCCGAGGGAACCGACCGATCATCGTCAAGCCCGGGTGGGAGCCCGCGGGCCGGAAGAGGACGTGGCGGGGGAGGTGGCCGAGCGGCCCGGAGGGAGGCCCGGGCTCGGATCGCGCTGGCCGCCGGGGCGGG